CATTTGGCACGAACAATGAGTTTCAGGGTGGATGGCCAGGGAGCAATACACAGCCCCTCGATTGCAATTTTATACAATACATAGAGCTGCAACTGCACCTTCTTCGCTGCAATAATCTCTACAAACGCCGTTGCCAAATAAATTCCTCATTCAACTAAGTATTCTCTATTCCTTCCGAGTCATCATCACAATTACTATGATCATCAACAATTGAGCTTCCAACCTAATTCTTTATTTTCACGAATCAACGACTCTTTTCCTCCAAAACCTTAGGCATCCCAATTCCACAAATTGGAGATGAGCAATAAGCAGCTTGCATCCTAATTCCACAACATGATGTCTAATGCACACAATGCTTCAATAACTCATCAAAATTTAAACCATAATATTCACACTTCGTTGAGGGAGATATTTTTCCTTGATTTACAAGGGCTTTTTCCTTGATAAACATGTACAATACTACAAATCCAGAAATTATTGGTTACCTTCGGTTTATAAGTTGTTAAAGAAATTTTCTTCTTCTTCTTCTTCTGAAGATGGTTCATCGCCAACATTTGATTTCCTCGTCAAATCACTTTCTTTAACCATTGTAGAAAATAGGAGTCATGTTTCAGAGTGAAGAAGTTAAGATTGAAATCCGAGTTTTTGATTTGGGGTTTTTACAGTGATATCATCTGATCGAAAAAGGACTTGCACGAGATGAAATCAACGATTCGGATCCAAACATATTAAAGCTTTTATTATTGCGATTCAAAGTTGTTTATAGCAGGTGTTTATGGTACACAAATGAGAAGACAATAGACATACGAGATCGACGGAATCGACGGAAATAGAAGGAGATGAAAGCGGCGGCAATGGACAGAGAAAATCATGAGGGGAGGAAAGTGTTTTTACATTGAGGAGAGTGTTTGTACTGAATGAAGGAGAGTGTTTGTGCTGAATGAAGATAGGGTTTTAGGTTTAGAATGTATTAATTATGGGTTGAATTGTTTAATTAGTTTTAAAACGGTATTATTCAATTTAGTTGATTTAAGAGGGTATTTGGCCTAATTTTCCCTTTTCGAAAGGCGGAATTTAGGCCATGTATAATATAGTCACTGTTTGGCTTTCATTTTTTCAATTTATTTTTCCTTAAATTCATTTTCAATAGTACACTCTCACGATAAAATAAATTTACACGTGAATCCATAAGTTTTACCTACTTTTTAACCATACAATTTCCAAAAATTACTTTTCACAAAATCTTTACGAAACAAGAGATTTAAGTCAATTAAAATTATGAAGATCTTATTTATGGTTAAGGTGAAGTACAAGGCATTCCCTAGAAAACAATTGGTCATACCTTAATTTTAATCAAAAATTTCGTGATATCTACATTTTTCAACGGCCAAGCATATATATATATATATAATCAAAAACTGCTAAAACTTTTATCAAAATTTTTGTTATGCGGTCCCTGAGTGGGATTCTTTATGACACACTAAGCATCTACAGAAACCAAATCTCCAATTTTAGTCCAAATAAAAAGTTGGAACTTAGTCCAAATTGAGGCTCAAGAAGAAGTCCAAACAAAAGGCCCACACTCCGCGTCATAAAAAATCGCCCCGAAGTCATAGGTAAAGATGGCGAAACGATACCTTACCCAAAGCAGAAGCTCCACGTAAATCCAAAATTTTTGCTTACTTTTTAACCACACATTTTCTAAAAATCATTGTTCAAAACATTATTTTTACACGATAATGACTATCAAACAGGGACTTAATCAACAAGTATTCGTAACTCTTCATGTAAGGGTACTTGTGCTTAAGCTCAAGCACTCGCCTGTAGAGGTCAATGGATGGCCTAAGAGACTGATAACGACATGTTAGGAAGATGTACATCGACAACCTCCACTCATTTGAAGTCAATTGGCATGTGTATATAAAGCACTTACTTTTAACCGCGTTAACATTTAAAGATGAAACTCTAAGTATTAATAATGATTAGGTCTATTAAATTCAAACGAGTAATTTGGTCAGTCTAAAACTCGAATGCATCATTCAGATTCCAAGATAGGTGAGTTCAAACAAGTTACTATCGTGTTGGGGCATTTTAATGATAAATCACATT